AGTAAAGTTTAATGAATAAACTGTGCGATGTGGTTAAGGATAAGTCCAGTTTGATATTTTTTCCTTAAAGAGCTTTCTGTAAAATTTTAGAACACTTCAATACGATTTTTATAGAATTAGTTATGATTTTTTAAATTGGGACATGAAATCTGGAATTTAAACAGTGAATAGTAACCCGAGTAGTTATGTTAAAATTTTAAATCCACGAACTTGTATTATGATCCGCTTGAACTGTAACACTTATGAATGCATACTCTGAGGGGTTAAAGGAAGGACGTTTCATCTGTCATGTCGATCACTCCATTGTAAATCTCTTCCCTGTCACTACGTCCAAGGCCAAATGTATCCTCGATGTGCATCAGCCAATGTGTGAACGTTTTTATTCTTATGGAGATAACTCATACACAATGGGAGAACTGGCTGCAGAATCAGTTAGTTTTGGCCGAAATATTTTGTTTCCTAAGACGGCATTTGGGTGTGGACAATGGACTATACAACGAGAACAACGCAGGACTTGTTGGGCTTGGTCAAGGGAGTTTGTCTTTAGTTTCACAAATGGGTAAAGTAGGTCGCAAATTCTCGTATTGTCTGCCTCCTTACGGTTTAAAGACTGCGACTAAACTAAGGTTCGGGGAAGAAGCCACCATATCAGGAAATGGGCTTGTGTCCACTCCATTGATCACCAAAAATGGTCCCATGTCGTTGTTTTACTTCCTCAACCTTGAAGGTACTAACTAGCTAGTGTTATGTTTTAATTTGAGGTTGTTTCATTTATTTTCATCTCAAGTTAGTTTTATCTTCTGATTTATGCAGTTCGATTTTATACGACTCTTTAATCCCTGGCTTAAATTGTTCGTGTGAAATGGTTGTTGATCGGTATCATTGTTGCACAACAGACAGTGCAGACTGGTCAAAGCAATGGGAACATAATAATTGACTCTGGGACGACATTGACGATGCTTCCATCAAGTTTTTATGACCAGGTTGAAGCTTTGGTGAAGCAAGCCATTGGAGCCGACCAATTCATAGTTCAGAACAATGAATACAAATTGTGTTACAGAAATGCTAACTCTATTATCCAGAATATTCCAAATTTTGAGGTTCGTTTTGCGGGACCCAACCTTTCCTTACAACCTCAAAACCTCTTCGGTTTCATATCCAACGATGTTGTGTGCTTTACAATGCTTCCTACAGATGGAACGCCCATTTACGGAAATGTGGCTTAGATTAATTTTGAGGTGGAGCACGATCTTGATCAGAAAAAAGTTTCTTTTGCTCCTTTCATTTGTATGTTTTAATTTGAGGTTGTTTCATTTATTTTCATCTCAAGTTAGTTTTATCTTCTGATTTATGCAGTTCGATTTTATACGACTGTTTAATCCCTGGCTTAAGTTGTTCGTGTGAAATGGTTGTTGATCGGTACCATTGTTGCACAACAGACAGTGCAGACTGGTCAAAGCAACGGGAACATAATAATTGACTCCAGGACGACATTGATGATGCTTCCATCAAGCTTTTATGACCAGGTTGAAGCTTTGGTGAAGCAAGCCATTGGAGCCGACTAAACAGTAGAGATTCCATGACGTGGTTTGGATGAAAAAATAATAGAAAAAGGAAAATATAGAGGGGGAGAGAATACTATGAATAAAAACTCTCTCTCTAATTTTCTTCTCATCCAAACTAAGTACCAGTCATATAGTTATACACTTGATGAATAATATACTTGGCTGACATAGCTCAAGTGAAATATATAGGCATTGTAAAACCTACACACACACACACACATATCGTGCTTTCGGAAGTATCTAATAAGTGAGAATGTCTGTAATTAAGAATTAGCATTTGAGAATATAAAAGAAGACTTAAAAAAAACATCACTAAATTAAATGACAAGACGAAGAGTGTGTAATACTTGTCATTTTATAATGTGATATCAAGTATATTTTTGACAAATAACTAATTTAAATAATTTTTTTAAAAAAAACTTAAGTCAAATTCTTTATATTCATTATGTCAAGTTCTCCAATCATACATAATCTTGTGTACTTTTTTTTTAATAATTAAATGCTACTAAATGTTAATATTTCAAAAATATGTGACACATGATTATGTGTGATTAGAGAACTTGACATAATAGATATGAGGAACTTGATACAAGTATTATCCATTCTTTAATCTATTCAAATTAGTTAAGTAGATCATATATTAATTAAGGACGGGAGGTAGTATTTTTTTATTTTAATTTGCAGCTTGATGCATGTTTATCATGTACTCCTCTCATCCCATTTACATAGAGAGAAAATTTTTTTAATCTTATTTATAAGTCATTTCATTAAATTTTTAGCATGAATATTCTGTTTTATTCTTAATTTATTATAGTATAGATATTTATTTTTTCAAAGGTGCATATATTAAATAGGAATAAAGTTGAAAAGTTATTATATTTTAATGAAGAGTTAATGCAATTTAAAGTTTTTTTTAAAATATGTGTGAAACATGTTAAAAGTACATTATAAATAAGACTAGAGGAGTATAAATTAATAAGCTTTAAATATTTTGTACTAAATAAACGACATGAATGTATAGTAGAAATTATTGCAGTGACATTATATATGTGTGTATTATATGAATCTTTATTTTGCGATGAGAATGATGTAAGTGAAATTATGGTTGACTAGGTTTCGCTAGGTTGGACAATAAATAGTCAAGACTCAAGTGAAATGACTTGAAATGTAAAAATGGCATAACTAAGACAGCTTAAAATACGACTGTATGGTTTTATTTAGAAGGCACTTTTAATATATTTTATATAGACTAAGAAAATATTTAAACTGCATTAGCTCTCCTTTAAAATATAACTTTTTAACTTTACCCTATTTAATATATACACCTTTCCGAAAAAAATCTATATTATAAATATGAAGGACAAAATAGTATATTCATACTAAAAATTTAATTAAGTGATTTATAAATAAGATTAAGAAAAAAAAAATTTTTGGCTTTATAAATAAGACTAGAGGAGTATAAATCATCATCACCTTTTGAATGTGCTCTGCTAAACTGTACTCTCATGCATATCTAAACAATTTTGAAAACAAGACGATCTGGCCGGTTCCTTCATGTGGAGGGAACTATTCACAACTCTGCTTAGAATTTGTTTGGATTCTCAAAAGCCAATAAAAAAAGAAAAAGCACAAAAGCAATTTTGAGGCAAAATATTAAACCTAAAGTCACATTTTTGGGTTACAAAAACCAAATGCATATTCAAACTGACTTTTTACGAAAACATAAATTACATTCCACACTAATTGGCTTTTGCCCTGTTATTGACTTTGCAAACTAAAGGCCATAGAGTTAGAGTAAAATTAAAGTTAATTTTGTAAACCTTAATCCAAACAAGCCCAGTGGTTTTATTTCAAGTCCAAACGGATGCTGTCCACGAGCTGGCATCACCCCTCACATGACATGTCTGTGAAGTGATCTTATTGAATTTTGACAACAAACATAGACTTGCAACGTTATTAATTTGATTTGTACGAGGGAAAGAGATTAGGCTTGCTAGCATTGAAGAAATTGTTGAAGAGCATGAAACTATCGAAGAGGTCTAAAACGACAAAGCTGGAATTGTCGTTGGCATCTTCCTTCAATTTGGCCAGACCTTGGCTTATTAAGAGGGCCTTGTAGTGATTGGCGAATGTGTTATGAGTAGAGTTGCACAGCGAAAATAAGGATGAAGCTGTCGTTTTCCGGAGGCACGCTACAGCTGGTTGAAGGCCACTCACCGCAATTTTCTTCACAAAATTTTATATTTCTTTCCACATGTGTCTTTTTTCATTGGTGTCGAGTTAACACAAAATTTTAAGAGAGAAATCGAGAGCCTAGGTTGGAATTTTCAGTCATGCCATCCAACAAATTGAGTTATGGGACCATTGGTCTGTGGAAAATAAGTTATATTTCTTTCCACATGTGTCTTTTTTCATTGGTGTCGAGTTAACACAAAATTTTAAGAGAGAAATCGAGAGCCTAGGTTGGAATTTTCAGTCATGCCATCCAACAAATTTAGTTATGGGACCATTGGTCTGTGGAAAATAAGTTAGGCTTTGGAACGACGTCGGAATAGTCAATGCTCAAGTTTCGTGCACGCGAGGCAAGTGATATGATTTGACGTGTAAAATAATGACACGATAAATACTCTCTATGATCTTAAATATAAAATCTATATAACTATTTTATAGATATTAAGTGATGTTTAGTTAAACTAGTTATTTGTAATATGTGTATTACTTATTCTAAAATATCTCCTTATTTAATATTATCTTCGGTCCTTAATATGAGAGTTAACCAAAAATTCAATTTGGTTTCAAATATAAAATCCCAATCTATTTTAATTTGTGTCTAATATTTATTCATTTTTCTCTTAGTAGTCCCTATACTAATTGTGCATGTTAAGAGATTTTCATTAAGCGACTCCAATACAACGCACATGATTAGCAATGATACAACATTCCTTTATTATAGCCAACTATCTTAACTATTTTTCTTAAGTTTTATAAATTGGTAATCTAGCTCTTATATTAATGAATGAAGATAGTACTTACATTGTGTAATACTCCCTTGATAGAAAATCCTTTGACATGTATAATTATTAGGTAGAGTTTAGGAAAAGTGTTATAAATTTAAGAGGCGAAGAGAATTTGAGTTTTATATTTAAAATCAAAATAAATCCTCCTACTAGACTTCATATTTAAGACGGAAGATATAGTTTGTTGGGCGCTCTTCAAGATATTGACAGCTCATTTTATTGCAGAGAATTTTTTTTAAGGAATCTAGCAGTTCCAGAAGAAAAACAATTAAGGGAGCTTCATTAAAAAAAAACATAATTAATTAAGCATGAAAGATATAATCACTTTACAAACAACTCAAACTTTTCTATATAAAGAAGCACCTCAACCTCCTTCCATGCTCATCAAATCTGCTCAGTTTTATTCTTAGCTTCTGACATGCTTCCTCATCATTCCCTCTCTTTCGCCCTTATTCTCTTGCTATCAACCTTTTCAATTAATGTCTCTGCAACAAATAATAAGCTCCCAAAAGGTTTCAGCATCGACCTCATTCATCGTGACTCGCCATTATCACCGTTCTTCAACTCCTCCATGACCCACTCAGAGCGAGTTCAGAACGCCGTGCTGCTCTCTCTATCCAGATCTAATCGCTTGGGCCAGTCTTCCATGGCTGAAACAAGCGAGTTAGTAGAAACTGATATATTCCCAAACGATGCAAGTTATCTCATGAAGATATCTGTTGGGACTCCACCTGTAGAGAGGTGGGCAATTGCAGACACAGGAAGTGACCTTATTTGGATCCAGTGTTCACCCTTCTTTGATCCAAAAAGATCTTCCACTTATATGTCTTTGCCATGTGGTTCAGACCCTTGTAATTCCCTGCCTCGATTTATTATGCAAGGCCAACAGTATCCTAGATGTGGAACATCAAATGAGTGTACCTATTTTTATGCGTATGCGGATAACTCATACACAACGGGAGAACTGGGCACGGAATCAGTTAGTTTCGACCAAGTTGCTTCATTTCCTAAGACGGTGTTTGGGTGTGGACAACCCAATAGTGGAGGATTCAGCATCAACGTAGGACTCGTTGGGCTTGGTCAGGGGGATTTGTCATTAATTTCACAAATGGGTAACGTGGGTCGCAAATTCTCCTATTGCCTGCCTCCTCACAGTGCAAAAACCACAACTAAACTAAGGTTTGGGGAAGAAGCAGCCATATCAGGAAATGGGGTTGTGTCCACTCCTTTGATCACAAAACCTGGTTACTTGTCTTTGTTTTACTTCCTCAACCTTGAAGGTACTGCTTGTATTATGTTTTACTCTGAGGTGATTCGTTTATTTTCATTTCAAGTTATTAGTTTTATAATCTTGAATTGTTCCCTTGTCTAATAGTTTTGTGTGAATCGGCCATTCATCGACAGGTATCACTGTTGGGCGGCACACAGTGCAGACGGGCGAAAGTAATGGGAACATAGTTATTGACTCTGGGACGACATTGACGATACTTCCGTCAAGCTTTTATGAGCAGGTTGAAGCTTTGGTGAAGCAAGCCATTGGAGCCGACCAATTCATAGTACAAAACAGTCTATACAAATTGTGTTACAGCAATGCTAGCTCCATCCAGAATTTCCCAAATTTTGATGTTCATTTTACAGGAGCCAACCTTTCCTTAAAACCTCAGAACTTTTTCCGTTCCATATCCGATGATGTTATATGCTTTGCAATGCTTCCCACAGATGGCATGCCCATTTATGGAAATGTGGCTCAGATTGATTTTGACGTGGAGCTTGATCTTGATCAGAAAAAAGTTTCTTTTGCTCCTGTCAATTGTACTAAACAGCAGAGGCCCGAAAGCACTGCCTATATATGTATATGGAGTAGTAATCGTGTGCGTGTTTTGTAAACCCTAAATTTACTTTGCCATTACTTGTTTTATTTTCTATAGCAAATTAATCTTAAAGGTCCTTACTTATATGCTGGTTTTAGAGACTTTGGTATATGCCACACATCTGATATCTTTTTTAACTAAATCCTTAGCGTGTCTAAATCTGCTGTGAAATTAGAAATTTCACTACGATATATATAGGAATATTTCTCACTTCTATGCAATCTTGTTTCTCATAATTTTTATTTTACCTCAAAGCATCTCATTGTAATAAGCTTCAGCGCCAATAATGAACTTAAACCGTGAAGCCCTAAATATTAACATCAAAGCAATTTAATTATTAATTAACACCATTATTGTAATTTGTGGAATTACGAAAGCAGATTTTTACAAATGTGTTAGCTAGGCGTATAATATATTTATTAAAAAAATTAGATTTCCTTGGCCATATTGATGATTGACCTGTAGTGAATTGGTCACTAGTCGTTAATTACTTAGGCTATAAGTTGATTGACTTCGTAGTCAACTCTTTATCAATCATAACTGTATTTGATTGTCTCAAAGGCTCTAAATAATAGAGTTAGACAATCGTCCTTTCCTCTAAAGCAGTAGGGACTTCTAACTTAATTAAGTTGTAGTCAAAATTTATTAACTAACAAAATTTATTTTGTATTATGATATGTTTTGCCTTTTCTTTTTAATCATAACAGTAGTTTATATACTGTTAAAGCATAACATATTGTATTATATTTGTATTAGGAGTTCGATATTGTAACAGCTACAACTTGTCTAGAATCTTCCCACCTTTACGCATGTTTAGCTTCAATGGGCTCTCAATTATTTTTTGCTGATTCTTTGTGATACCTTTGTCCTCTAGCTATTGTATTCTTGTCTATCTATTCAATAAAGAAAGGCAGAGCACAGTGTCTTAGATTATTCAATTCTCTTTACCCTAGCTTTTCTATCTTAGTACCAGAGCCATGGCAGCGGCTGACTCTACTTCCTCTGCTTAAAAAACCTATAGTCTTTTTAGCTCCTCAAGCCAAACGTCTGCGATTAAGCTAGATTGTAGCAATTACCTTGTGTGGGAGTCTGTTGTCTTGCCACTGATTAAAGGCAACCGTTTAGAAGGACACCTCAATGCCTCTGCTAAGATCCAACCTCGCTTGCTCCCTAAAGCTAAAGGGATGAAGGTGAATCCAGAATATAAGGAATGGTTTGCGGTTGATTGGATGCTGGTAGGATGGTTAAGAAATACTATGACTCTAGATGTTAGAGCACAGCTTCTTCATTGCAAAACCACTTCAAAGTTGTGGAGTGGTGCTCGTGGACTAACTTGTGCATCAACTAAGGCAAGGATAATGGTGTACAAGACTGAGCTGCATCATACCAGGAAAAATGGAATGAAGATGGAAGAGTTCTTGAGCAAAATGAAAAACATTACAGATAAGCTTGCTCTTGCTGGAGCACTTGTGAGTGATGAGGAATTACTTCTCCATACTTTAAATGGTCTAGACGCAAAATATAATGCAATCATCGTTAAGCTCGCTGATCAAACTGGGCTTACTTGGGTTGATGCACAGGCCTCTCTTCTTTCTTTTGAAGGTCGTTTGGAACAACTCAACCACTTTGCTTCTCTCACTGTTTAGCCTATTGCTAATGTTGCTCAACGTGAAGATGCTTTGATTGGTGACTTATCTGATTGTTGTTTTTTTTTTACTCTGGTTCTAGATGTAATGGTTAGTGTGGAGGTCGTGGAGCACGTGGTAGATCACGTGGTCATTGAGCAGGGGGTAAGAATGGCCAAACCTACTGTTTTTACTTTCAACGACTAGGACATATCATGTCAAACTGTTACTATAGAAATGATAGGAACTTTATACCCCTATCTAACTATGGTCGACCTGTTGATCCTCAAGCTTTTGATGCTTCCCCTTACTCTGTTTTAGTCCTGCTTGGTACATGGACAGCGAAGCTAACTACCATGTGCCTTCTCATTTAGACAATCTTGATCAGGTAGTTCTGGTTGGTAAGTCTCATCTCTCTACTTGTACTGGTGAGAAGCGTTGAATCTTAGGTATTGGCTCAAAATTCATATCCAGCCCTGCTTCTAATACTAAACTGCTTCTCAAGGATGTCTTATTAGCTCCTAATGCCACTAAAAATCTCATAAGCGTGCATAGACTTATAGAAGATAATTTTATTGATGTGAGCTTAACTAATTCTAGGTGTATTGTGAAGGACAAAGTGACAGGGGAATTGCTGATGCAAGGAACACCCAGGGAAGGAATGTATCGAATGGGTCATAAGACTAAGTTTCAACCTCAAGTGCACATTGCTCATTTTACTAGAGATGAAGATGAAGTTAGAAATTGGCACCATAAATTAGGACATCCTAGTTTTAGAATTTTGAAAGAAATTTTAAACAAGTGTAATGTGAAAATTCCTGTGAATGAAAAGTACGTTTGTGAAGCTTGTCAACTTGGGAAATCAAAGCAATTACCATTTACTCATTTTGTTTCTCATGCTTCTGAGCCTTTAGATTTAATTCACTCTGACTTGTGGGGACCTTCTCCAGTGCAATTTGTTAATGGACATAGGTTTTATATTCACTTTGTTGATGACTTTAGTCACTACACTTGGATTTATCCACTAAAACACAAAGGGGAAGCTATACATGCTTTTAATCATTTCAAGGCCTTTGTTGAAAATCAATTCAACAAGAAAATTAAAGCTCTACAGTGTGATAATGGTTCAGAGTACAAGCCTTTTGTTCCTGTAGCTCAATCTGCTGGCATTAATTTAAGATTTACCTGTCCATACACATCACATCAAAATGGTTGTGTAGAGAGAAAGCACCTTCACATAGTTGAGATGGGGCTGACTTTATTAGCTCAAGCATATGTGCGACTTACATATTGGGTAGATGCTTTCCAAGTAGCTATCTACTTGATAAATAGATTGCCTACACCAGTGCTAGATGGCAAGACTCCTCTGTTTAAATTGTTTAAACAGAGCCAGATTACAAATCTCTACAACCTTTTTGGTGTGCTTGTTATCCTTACTTGAAACCTTACAATGAACATAAATTTCAATTTCATAGTCAAAGGTGTGTCTATTTGGGTGTAGCAAACCAACAAAAAGGGTATAAATGTTTGAGCTCCATTGGGAAAATATTTGTGTCCAGACATGTGGTTTTTAATCCATCTTTATTTCCCTTTGTCTCAGGATTTTTAAATAGAAGAACAGGTGGAAGAGAATCAAATGATGCAACGATGATAATGCCTCCACCAGTGCACTCTGTGAATTTAATAACACAAAATCAGTAACCTGAAGCAAATACTGAAGTCTCCATGTCATCTTCTTTAAATGGCACTGATCTATTCTTTCTAGATTCAAGGAATGACAATGTATTACAGAATAACTCTCCACCTTGAAGCCCGTCTATTGAAGTATCCTCTGCAGATCAGTTTATAAATAACAAGCCCAATATTGAGGTTGAAGCCCAAAATCCACCACAAGATTCATTAAAATAGACACAATATGGTTACCTAAGCCAAGGATGGAATTTACAAGCCCAAGCATCCCTTTATTGGGCTTATGGAAGCTGAAGACCCTAAATCCCTATCAAAAGCGTCTAAACCCTCTTGTATTCCAATGGCTCTTTCTCTTCCTCAGTGGTGGTAAATGGTGGATGAGTTCAACGCTTTGCAGAAAAATAAAACGTGGGTCTAGTGCCATACGATGGTTCACAGAAACTTGTTGATTGTAAATGGGTCTTTAAGACCAAGTTTCGTGTAGACGGTTCTATACTGAAGCACAAAGCATGATTGGTTATGAAAGGTTTTCAACAAGTTGTCAGAATCGATTATGGAGAAACTTTCAGCCTAGTGATCAAGCCTACAACGGTCCACGTAGTACTTACCATTACAGTAACTTTTAATTGGGAAATCAGGTAGTTAGATGTAAATAATGCTTTCTTAAATGGTTTTCTCCAAGAGGATGTATACATGAAGCAACCAGAGGGATTTGTAGATCAGAGTCATCCCAATCATGTTTGCCGGTTAATCAAAGCCATTTATAGGTTGAAGCAAGCACTAAGAGCGTGGTATGATCATTTAAGACTCACTTTGTAGCAGTGGGGATTCTATAATGCCAGAAGTGACACATCTCTATTTCTACTTCCAAAGGGTAACATCACTATCTTTGTTTTAATTTATGTGGATGACATTTTGATTACTAGAAACAATTCAGATTATCTGAGAAATTTTGTTCAAAAACTGAATTCTATGTTCTTTTTGAAAGATCTTGGACAGCTATACTATTTTCTGGGTCTTGAAGTTTTTAGAGACAGATCTGGAATTTTTCAAAGTCAAGGGAAATATGTATTGGATCTATTAAAGAAATTTAAT